GTATGCTGAGTTACTCAACAAAAGCGGGTAGTTTTTCTTAGTGGGAAAATTTTCGAACCATTAGCCAAAAAGTCTTATTCAAATGGCAATGTAGTGACACCAGGATATGAAGTTCCATGGCAGTCAGTGACCAATTATAGGTTCAAATGGCAGCTCGTCTACGTTTTGTAACTTTAAAGACTATTTTACTCAACCACTAAATGAAATAATTGATCACACAACAAAATCGTTATTTAATATCTTAGTATCTTGTCTACATAATTGTTGATGCAAGTTGGCCAAATCCAACAATCATTGTCTTATGGTCGTGCTACATGCCTATCGACTAAAAACTGAAGTTTTCACAAGCTCAGTAAAATTATTTAGTAAATCAGTTTTTTTTTGAATTCATAATTCCACATAGAATCGTGCTCGAGTTTGATCCATTATCACTAAATTAATAGTGGAGCGTTGATGTGTGCATGAATTATCTAGTGCGTAACGAAAACTACCCTACGTAAACGCTATATGTAAATAAATAAAATTAGATGACTTAAGGCGTGAAAAAGGTACAAATCAGTCGTTTCCAAGGATTTTTAAATTTTCTACATACATACTTTGCATTAAGGAGTTGTGTAAGTTGTTATGTTACACATTTGAAATCGTGAATCGATCAATGTTAGACCAGGACGAAACGGCTGTCCAGTGCTTCCAGGCTTCTAATGGTGGTCTAACATTGATAGATCCATGATTTCAAATGTATACTTTGGTTTCAAGACAGTAAGTTGAATGATGTTTACTTATTGTGTTTAAATGGTAACCACTAACAAAATAGTCATGTAACTTTGTTCAGTTAATTAATCTGATGATATCACTGTTGGTCTGAGGGTTTTTTTAAACTAATAATATGCCATATTTACTGAAGAAAATATCGGGATAAACATGTCATTTGATGCATAAGCCATCACCTAATACAAATTTCGCAGGTCATTCACTGGTCAGTCAAAATATGACCCAACTATAAGATCTAATTGTTTCTACCACATCAAATTTGTTGCTTTATTTAAATTTAGAAACCGGGAAGGGATCCCAAGAGTTTAAATAGTGTTTTCGGAAGAAAATAAAAGGATAACATAAGAAAACATCATAGTATATTGAATTGGATATAACACATGTGTCTCTGAACCCCTGTAATACATTTGATGTATTTAACTAAGTTCTAAACTTTTATCTCTTATACTATTTCTGTTACTCAGTTTCAATTAATATTATATTTGTTTCAGCTTCCCATCTCTTACATCAACACATTTTACAGGATAAAACAAAGCACTATATAGTAA